CTAAACAACGGAAGGGTAAATGCTGCAACACTGACGAGGTTTAAGCATGTGCCACTTTTGTTGGGAGGAGCAGGGTATAAAGGTATACATGTAGGACACGTAGAATAGTTAACAGTAAAAGAGTGTGTGTGGTTTTGCTTCCATTATATTTATTATTTTGTAGAGACTTTTGTGAATGTTAGACTTCCTTTATTGTTTTATTATATTTATGTATAAAACAGGTTGACTCTGCTTTTTTAAAATAAATAAGCCAAAAAAAAAGTCTGTACAAATGCCTCTGTCATCTTTTGAAGGAATTTACCTACAAACATCTGGTAGTGTTTGGTTTTCTTAAATGAAACTGATCTTCAGACCAGACAATTTGAAGCAGACTGTAGCCATGTCTTAACTTAAAGGCAGGTTAAAAACTTCAGTAAACTTAAAGCAATGCATCCTGACTACTTAAAATTATCAAACTTAATTACTATCTTGCTAGGTGCTAGAAAAAAATGGCTGGGAAATAGACACACTTAAAGATGTTGTTGCGAAAGATCTTGCCAATTTTTCTTTATATATATTTACCTTTTAGTTTTTATTTGTTTTAAAATCAACTCCTCACATGTGGTTGGTACTTCACTGAGACTCTTCTTGCGTACTTACAAACAGTTCCGTTTCTGAGAAAATGGGATATTTCATGGACTTCTACTTGTTGCATCTTTGCAGCAACATTTTTTAAAAAAAGTGGTGAACTAGGCAATTTAGCATTAGTACTAAATTTTAAACTGCATTTCTCACTCATTTCATTATGCAGAGGTCAAAGCTCAACAGTATAACCAATGAAATATTTCTGAAGTTTGTAATGCCTCACTTCTTCCTTGGTCCTCATCAGGATAAAGCTGTTGGTGTATCTCCTGGGTTGGGACAGGGAGTACATACACAATCATTACTTGTTGGAGCAGCCTGCTATTTCTCTCTTACCTTTTAAATAGATCCTACAGACCCAGATCCATTCCAGGTGATCACTTAGATGACAAATGTAAAATGGTAGTTAAACTGTAGTAGGTGTGTATTTCTCACAGCAGGTGTGACTGAATACAAGGAGGAAGGGTAAAACAGGTAGCCATGTACAGCATAGCTGACCAGGTATTGTGAAACTAAACATAGAAAAATCCAAATTTATTGCTTTTGTAATTAATTTTCTGTATTTAGGGATAAATGCCATGCAAATGGAGAATCGTATTTAATTTCTTCTATTAACAGGAAATCTGCATGGAGATTCATAAAAAGGTGTTCTATGCTGGAAAAAAAATACTGACATCTTTAATGCAATGTCACATTGAATTTACATTGAGGGGAATGCTAGCTGCTGAATTCATGGGAAGAAGCAAGTATATGCTTTTGCTCCAATTTTATTTACATGTAACTCGTTACATCTGCCAAATGTAAAATTCTGTGTGGTTAATCCACAATTTTTTTCAATGTTGATACTTGTCCGTTACTGTCTTACATTTTAAGGCTCACACATCATAATCGATGGTTCATTAATTTGGAGAGTTTAGGGGATATAGGACATTTCCTTTTAAACCTGTCAATTCTTCTGGAATGAATTTATAGCCCTCTTCTACCCTTCCAGCCAAAGGTCATTCCAAATGCTATATGTGGAATTTGTCTGAAGGGTAAGGAGTCCAACAAGAAAGGAAAAGCTGAAGCTCTTATACATTGCTCCCAGTGTGACAACAGTGGTGAGTATCTGCATACACTAAGCGGATTCCTGAGGGAGGTTCTGTGAGATGTTTCTGTGGAAGCTCTCGGTGTACTGCGCCTGTGCACCCACAGTCCCGTTGCCTTTTCTGCCCCGCGCTGGCTCCGTCTCGAGTTAATGTTACATGTACTAGCACGTGCAGTGCACTGGGGGATCTCGCCAGGAGGTGAGCTAAGCTTCAGCTTCTGTATAAGCACATGGGCTAACTGATTTTAGATTTCATTTCAGACACAAAAATAATAATACTGGTTTTAATCTAGGCCACCCTTCTTGCCTTGATATGACCCCGGAGCTTGTTGCTATGATTAAGACTTATCCTTGGCAATGTATGGAGTGTAAAACATGCATTATATGCGGGCAGCCTCACCATGAAGAAGAAATGATGTTCTGTGATGTGTGTGACCGTGGTTACCACACTTTCTGTGTGGGGCTTGACGCTATCCCTTCAGGTAATAAAGTAAGAGTTAATTGTTCCTTTCCCACCTCTCCTGAGTCCTGGGCTTTGTCTGTCAGAATTAATATATGCACTGCTTTGGAAAGAATAGTTTAAAACAAGGTAGGAGAAAGCATTCACACTGCAGGACACAATTGTTTAGTAAGCTTTATTTCTGTATATTTGGTTGTGCACAGTTTTGCCTGGCTGTTCCTGTATAGGAAATATAATTGGCTTTTACAATGGAATCTGAACAAATTTGCTCAGAATTAGGTGGGGTTTTCCCCCATCCACAGAATACTGAGGATAATTACCTCCTTTCATAAAAGAAACCTGTAAAGAGGCTGTATTGCTGCATATTGCTGGAGTATAGCTTTCACATTAATAAAGTGTTTGTGCTATTATTTCAGTTTCTAAATTAAAAAGTATGCTCAATTAAATATTTGTAAACACCTTTTTAAACCACTTCCTATTTTTTTTTTTTTCTTACACATCAAAGCTGGAACTGAAGTACCTTGATGTCAGGCAGCCTGGTCACTTGTATCACCTGGCTAACTCAAAGCAGTACAAAGAAAATAACTGGTAGTACTGCTGCTTTTCATGTAACACTAAATCCATGGTAAATTTCTGAATAAGAAGTATTCAGTGGCTGCAAGCCCTGCAGTGACTATGTCCTGTAATGACAAGTGCTTCAGATCTACTGTAGATTCCCATTTTGGGAGGCACTGGCACTAGCTGTCACTTTAGTGCAGGTTCTGTGGCCAATTTAATTTTCAGGCTGACGGAATCTAAACAAAATAGAACATATGCCTACAAGACTACAAAATTACCAAAGCAGCCTTTATCATTCCAGCTGTTGTAATACAGTTGTTTGTAATACAAAGAGCTCTGTTCTTTGCTCAACCCTTTATTGTTCCCTCAGTAAATGAGTTGTACTGCAACGTCTGGTGACAAACCCCTGCCAGGGGTGTAATCTGTGCTGCCTGACTGCACTGAAATAACTGGAGTGGGACCCCAGACTGGCGGCAGAAGAGCAGCATTTCCCACTGCCCTCCATCCCTGCTCCGCGTCTCTGCCTGCGACCTGGAGCTGTGCCCACTCCCGTGAAAACCCAGCTTGCAAACTTGAGCAGTTTGCCGAGTTCCTTCCCAGTAACCACCTGCCCGAGCGGCGCTGGCACCTCCTGAGCTCCACAGAGATGCCTGTCGCCAGCTGGCGCGTGTAACGCGTCTGCAAGGGCGGCTGAACTTCACGTGCTGCCTTCTGTCACACATGCTTACGTGTTAAAGAAAAGCTCTGGTGGTTTACATTAAAGGAAGTACTGCAAATAGATGAGCACCCATTAGAATGGTGACAGGTGCACAGCTAGACAGGCGAGTAAAAAAGTTAGTTTCCCAATAACTGATAACTTTCTTTTCTTAGGTCGCTGGATTTGCGATTGTTGTCAGAAAGAGCCTCCCGTACCCAGAAGAGGAGGAAGAAGGGGGAAAAACAGCAAGGAGGGCTAATAACCCCCAAAATCCCTCGCTGTCTAAAACTTAACTGCACAAATTAAAGTGATACTTTGGTGCTATTTAACCAACCACTCTAATATGAGGAACAATACCACTTTTTTTTTTTTTTCCTTTTTACCAAATAAACTTTTAATTTTGGCTATATAATGACTTTCGTGATAAAAGTCACTAATCGTGTCCTGTCATATGTCTAGACAGAGATGGACAAGCCAAATTCCCTCTGAAAAAGAGAAGGCTTTTACTAATGAAATTTAAATTGTACATGCAGGGTTTGTATAAAATTATAGTAATGTACTTGTTGATTTCAGTGCGCTTATCAGTAAGCTCTGTGAAAAGAACATGATGGAGCAAATTAAATATACTCTTTGCATAGCAACTGGTTAATTTGAGACGTTCAACCAAAGCAAAAAACAGTCCTAGACAAACTATGAAGGAAGAATAGACATGACCTGACCTTAGAGTGTCCTGCAAATTTCTTTCAGTAGAATTTTTCCTTGCAAGCTAATGACTTACTCATAAAGATGTACTAAAAAAAAAAAAAAAAAAATCACAAAAACCTATAAAGCGAGGTGTAAGAAAACTCCTCTCAAGTTCAAGATACTATACACTGTGTTGCTTTTAATGAGGAATGAAAGTGTCATACTGACAAGTACGAACAGCTGAAGGCCTTACTCTGCCTGTAGGGAGAGTGGAGGCATAGCGTGCTTGATTCAGGTCATGGATTTGCAGAGGTGATGAGTGACCAGACAGACCTCTGCTTGACAGACGGATGACATGTAGAGCACAAGCAGTCACAATACAGATCATCTATCCCCTTAGGTGATTTATTGTTTTTTCTTTCCTTCAGCCTAGGCTCCCAACTCAAATACACTCAAAGCCCATTGCCAATTAGTTTTACTGGAGATTCTTGCTCAGAAAAGTAGATTATTTTTTATATATTCTTTGAATTGAGAAGGCGCACTGAAAGGCAGCAGTTTATTTCACTTCTCTTTATAAAAAGCAATAGAAAATACTGAATTGGAGACAATTTTCCTAAGCACCCGTTTAAAGTGAATTTAACAACATCCCAACCTTACATTCATTTTTAAGCCCTGATCAATGAAGAATGCTGCAAATACTGTGCTCGCCATTCATTTTACGTATAGGGAAGGACTTGCAATATAAAATTAAATATGGCTTTTTCCTCCACTGCCTTTCTGGATTAGGAAAAGTAACCTGAATACTTCTTCAGGAAAGGGTATTAAATATTACAGCAAGTCAATTGTGTTCAGTTTCACAGGTTGAAGTGTGACTTAGTCCAGTGTGTATCGATTTAAAAAAGAATTTCAAGTATTAATTTCAAGATTCCAATCAGTATAGTCCAGAAAACAGACTCCTCATCCTGAGATTCGTCTTCTGTAGCGTGTGAGTGTTTCTGGTGTGCCTCCATCTCCTCGGGGTCGTAGGAGGCGTCGCCAAACGGGTACCGCGCCACCGTCCGGTCGTAGTACACCCTCATCTCGAACTCACTCTCCAGGTGGGAGGGGTGCCCGTAGATCCCGATCCCCACGGGGCGGCGGAAGTGCGCGGGCACGTGGACGACGTCCTGCCCGCAGGTGACGGACTGCAGCTCGTACTCGTCAAAGCTGGGGTGCAGCGTCAGGTCCGACACGTACAAGTCCGCGTCGCCCTTCAAGCTCCGCATCTGGAGCACGATCTTTCCCTCGTGATTCAGTCTCAGGTAGCTGTAGTTTCCTGCTCCGATCTGACCTTGAACGACGTGAAGCAGCAGCCATTCTTCAGGGACATCCTCTTCCTCAAAGGTATTTACCACAAGTAGTACCTGAGCTGCTACAAATATGACCAGGATTCTTCTCCAGCGTGCTGCCATGGTCCTAAGTTATATTCAGGCTCCTGCCGTGTCCTGTGCGACAACCTTCTGAATACAAAACATAATTCAGAGTTTAGTACAGTCTGGTTTTGGAGCTCTTTAGGATTAAAATTACCTGGATTTCTTAAACAGAAATTAATCAAGCAGGTATTCTTTCATCTAGAACCAAAAAAAGATTTTAGTTTCATTCTACCTGCACATATGCAACATTTGACAGATACCCAGAAGAGGTGAAACCAAATCATTATTTTAGCCTGTTTAAAAAAAACAAAACCACGTTTAAAAAGAAGGCTTTTACACACTTGAAGAAGCTTAACCAGGTATGTAGGGCACCCTAGTTGTTCTCCCATCCTCTCACATTAACTTCAGAAGACAGCAAAGGCGCAAATCTGGATGTATGCAAGAAGCAGCACACATTCCAACCTGCACTGGGAATGGAGTTAGAAATAAACCCCACACACCTAGTGAGGTAATGCATTCATTTGTGATTCTGCTGTGTGGATTGCTTCTAGGACTAAACTTGGCATATTTTCCCTGACAAAATGCATTTACTGTCCTGAAGTTTTTGTTACTATACAAATGCTCAGCTCTTTACAGCACTTGCTTACAAAACAGAAGGCTGGCATTACCGGGGTATGTGGAGGTGGAGAGGATTTCTGCAAGGTTAAGGCTTTTACACCCCTTCCCTCCTTGTTGCAGGCTCCCAGCCAGCAGCCTGAGTGTGCCTGCAGCACTCCAGGCCTTTGAACGGTGGCACTAGGTGCGTGCAAAGAAGCAAGCTTCAAGCCTTGCTGAAGGCTGCCAAAGCACATAGATGACTGAATTTGACATACAAACCATGGTCAGGTAAGTGTAGGAGCCACAAGTATGCACACCTTCACGTTTAAGAGGAAGATTCTCATCCTCTCGTGCCTTCCATAAGGGCACCACAAATATTTTACATGTGAAAGCTACCAGTAAGTTGTTTTGTAAGCGTCTAGCACCAAAACAAACTGCATTACTTCCACTGAGATATCGCCTACACCTTAAAGGTTTTACAGTTAAACAGATCTAGGGAGAAAAATGTACGCTTATTCATGCAGCTCCAAGTTTCCTGCCCCAGAGGCCTCTATGCTGTAGGGCCACATTCTGCCGAGACAAAATAAAGGAGGAAGCGCAGCATTCGCAGAACCTTACAGACTGAAAATTAACACCCTCAACAATGACAGAAAATAACAGTCTTCTCTTCCTGTACCAGGGAGCTGACTCTCTGGCACTTTTAAATCGAAGCGGTGAGGAAATACCCGAGCGGAGGAATAGGAAGAGCTCCACAACTGAGCAGAAAATAACGAAGTTACCCAGGGACAAACGAAGCCCTCCGGCGCCGGAACACCGCTTCCAAGGAGGGGCGAGTCCAGAAGGCCTCGGGCAGAGACAGGAGCGCCTCTGCCCCGCCGCGAACTCCCGCTTTCCCCGCGGCCGCGACGG